TATGGACTGAAACCTCCATGAACTTTAACTTTGGGTGTCAGGTATTTTACTTCAGCAACGAGAAAAGTAACCAAGGTGGCATGAGTAGGCCTTGAGGACGGGACTCATGCCCTAAAAGGGAAAGCGGAGAACCACAGTAAGGCCCTGCCACCCTGTTTTTTGAGGCCCTGCCCGTGCAGGGCACAGTCAGGGAGAAGGTGTCATCTTGGAACCACACACCAAGCCTGCAATGCCCTGATCTTGGGCTCGTTACCCTCCAGAACCTCGAGAAATAGATTTGATTATAAGTTCCTCAACCTCAGGTGTTTTGTTATAGCAGCACAGACAGAGTAAGACTCAAAACTCGCTTCCAAAGGACATCCTGGAGCAGGTTAAGGAGTGCGAGGGAAGTGGGGTGAGTGGTCTTGCCCCAGCGGGCATCCCGAGAAGGTCCTGGAATGTACACTGCCAGCATCACTCCAAGTGGCATGGCTGTCCCAGGAGGTCAGTGTCATGTGTGACAGCCAAACACAAGGAAAGGAGAGCAGAACGTCTGTCCCAGTGGGCAGAGTGTGGGGAGATGCAGAGCAAGCCCTGCACTGGGAACACGTGGGCCCAGAGCGTGAATTCACAAAAACATGTGTACAGGAACTTGCAGGGTCCATCCTGATTAGCCTCCATGCTGGATTCCAAGACCTGACCGCTGGGAAAAATTACAATTTATTCATTATACTGTAGAGCCATCTATCTTTCTGCAAACTGTTCTCTAAGCTTCCTATCACCTGTAAGTATTAGGTTATCATAATTCCAAACTGAAGGAGACAGAAACTGAAGAATCTGCTTCTGAGGCTCTGCTCGGTTGGCTCTCAGGCCATCATCCCACAGGGCCAACCACTGCGTCCCTGAGAGCACATTCCGTTTTTCCCACCCTTCCCTACTCACTGGAAACTACACCAGAATTACACACTTTTAGAACACGTATTGAATGAGTACGGGTAAACTCCCGCTCCCTGCCCTAGACCAGCAGTGGCGAACGCAGGGCACTTGGGTCTCCTCTCCGCCTGCGTGCAAGCCAAGTCACCCAAGCAGCCGAGCATCGACCATGGTTGTTTTTCCTAAACTCAGACTGAAGTATTTCGGTTCAATGGCAGTGTTGGAAGTGAGCACCCCGTAGCCGGGTGTGGGGACACAGTGTGGGTGGGCATCGTCTCTCACAGGCTCGCCATCCCTGCTCTAGACAGGAGGACACCTGTCTAAACCCTGTACGAGGAAACATTTTTGGTAGGAAACAGGAAGTTTGTGAGTGAGCCCTGCTGTATTTGTTAATTCAGTAAGTGCGTGTTATGGGCTGATTACGCTCTATTTAACACATTATAGCCAGAGCAAACTGATTCTAGTAAGCTTTAAACCGCAAGCGTGCATTGCTAAAAGACTTTTTGAGGAGCTCTAGAGTAACAGCAAGCTGGAGAACCTCCTCTGTGGAAGGAGGACAGAGATTGAAGGCGGGCTTCCTGCGCAGGGGTCTCCTCCGAGCAGCACACTGGAGCACTTTCGACAGGGGGCATCTCCCCTGAGAAGGTCTTCTCTTGGCTCATAGTCCAAGGTGGAATTTGTTAAGCTCTGGGGGAAGAGATGCCTGATTATCAGGTCCATCAAACCCATGGGAAAAGAAACAAAATACTGGGAGTTTGGAAACGTCCCTCTTCCTGCCTACGAGCCCAGTGCTCAAGCTGAAAAGTTACCCTACGACAACGGAAGCTCGGTGGTGTTTAAAAACTCTGTCTGGAAAAAGTTGCACCACATTTGCTCAGCCACATGCAGCAGTCAGCTGCTGTCACCAACCAAACACACACATAAAAAACACTCCGGAAAATGCCCCGTGGGCTTATGTCAAGTCAGCAAAGGAACAAGAACAGCAGCACGCATCTTAGCCATGTGAGGGGCAAACGAACAAAAGGACACAGCAAGAAGACGTCCTGTCTGGCCGTGTGCACATGACTTTGACTTCTATATGTCCTCCCATTTAATTCTTTGTAAAACCCAGGATTTAGACATTACTACCATGAACAGAATATAAGCTTTGGCTAAAGCCTCACCCCTCTCTGCCCTCAGCCTGCACTGGGCTTCCTGAACACAGAATCTTAGACAAGGCAGTGCACTGGGTGCCAGCGATGGGCACGAGTTTAAAATCATGTGCTGGCTGTGCGAGTCCAAGAAACTCAAACATCTCAAAGCCTCGACGACCTCTGAGACGGGGAGAGCTCTGCTCTACATCTGGATGTCCCCCTAAAGCCCCCCTCATGGGAGGGGCTTCTAGAAGTTGAATGGACTATGGGGGCCTTCAGCTGACTTGCTGTTAGGTGGGGTCTGCTCAGAAGACTCAGGTCACTGTGGGTGCGGCCTCCCCACTCCCCGATTCACTCTGTTTCCTGAAGGCCACGCCCTGAGCAGCTTTTCTCCTCCATGTCCCCGGTGCTGACCTGCCTTGCAGCCAGCCAACTACAGACTAAACTCACTGCAAACCATGGGCCAAAACAGCCTTCAAGCTGTGAGTGTTGGATAGAGTCTCAGTGACAAGGAAGTAATTAAGGTGGGGGAAGTCATACCAAGTATTGCTCTAAGGTCACATAGTTTACCAGAGAAGTGGGCCGCTGCGGGGTCTGTACCTTGTCACGTGGTTCACAAACCTTTGGAACTGGTCTGCACAAGGAGTTTGGAAAGGTTTGGAGTAGGCAGCTGGAGAAGTTCTAGAATCTGTAAACAGGGTCTGACAGATGAGTCTGGAGCTCAGAAGACCAGAATGCTGAGAGGAATACAGATAACAAAGGCCAGCTAAGGACCTTTTATTTTGGAACAAGGACTCCACTGGCCGCCCAGCCGTACAGAACTCACATTTTACAACCATTTGTCCTAAGTGCCAGACATGGAGGAGTAAGAAATAACATTTGCCATGCTGGGCTTTGGTCTCGAGTTGGTCTGATTCTTTCCTATGCCTCTATCCCTCCCCTTTGGAATGGGAATGTTTATCCTGTGCCATTGTCTCTTGGGATTACGTTTTTGTTGCTGTTACTGTTGTTCATATTTTCTACAGAAGTCTGCAGCTAAGGGTTTGCCTTGAATCTCAGGAGAGCATTGGATTTCTGAAAAACAATGGACCTGTTGAGACTTTGGTAAAGTATTATTGCATTCTCCATTATATGCAGGGCAGTGGTGTCACATTATGAATTCTTTCTTGTCTGTATGTGGTGATTAAGCATGGCTGAGACAGATGTGTTAGGCCACGAAGTCTATAGTGGGTGGATCACAACTGCTAGTTTGGTGCCCACTGCATTAGATTGAGAGAAGTCTGGATTGGTAGAGCAGCCCTCCTGCGTGTTTGCATGGGTCGTGGGTGTGCTCTCGGGTACTATGTGCGGTCCCTCCTCTCTGGCACTGTGCCCTCACTCTGCTTCCAAGCTCCTCAGTGGCTCTCCTGCACCTCGTCCTTCTGCCTTGCAGCCAGCTGGCCATTCATTGAATCTCCTGAAACAATGAGCTAAATTAAACCTTTCCTCCTCTGAATCAATCGTGGGTATTGTGTCCCGGCAACAGGAAACTTGACTAATAGGAGGAGGTGGGGGCGGGGCAGGGTTTGTCACCATGGGCACAGTAGAATCTCAGCTCTGCCACGTACCAGCTATGCGCGTGCAGGCCAGACACTAAAAGGCCCCAGCCTCAACTTCCTCACCTGTAGGAGCGTGAGCGTTCTACTGAGATCAGCGACTCAGAGTCACACGGCGGTGATGAGGAAGCAGGGAGGAGGGCCCCACCTTTGGTGCAGGTCACACACCGAGTGGCCGGTAACTGACGGCCAGTACTGGCTCTACATCTGTCCCCTTGAGCCAGTCCCCGGGCCCGGGGCATCTTGACACTAAAGCCTAGCACATTCTCCTTGACTGGCACAGCGACAAACTCCAATAAACGTCTGCTGAACTGAGAGTGGTGGCTCAGGCCAGGCGGCCACGGGATGCTCGAGAGCCGTGATCAGCTCCCGGTCAGTGCTGCAGCCTTCGCTCATCTCTGTCTTCCCCCACATCCGCACACCACCGACTTCCCAAGGTCAGGACCCGGATCGCTCCGGTTCTCGTGCACCCTCAACATCTACACAGATTAACAAACACCCGTGGACTGAATCTGCAAGAGACAGGCACACCATCTGTGCAGTTCAGCCGGAACTCACACGGACACACACAACATCGCTGCCCAGGGCTTTGGAGCCAGGCTGCCTGGGTTCAAGCCCCAGCCCCACCATTCACTAGTTGAGTGACACCTGAAAGCTTTCGATGCCTCAGTTTTCTCATCTGTAAAATGACAATGTGAACGGTGTGGGCACTGCTAGTATTAGGCAGCTAATTCACATAAATCTCTTGAAGGTGAGCTTAAAATGTCAGCAGCCAGGTTTGTGGCTACTTTGCGCCCATCACAAAATCCAAATTATTTGAGTACCTAAATTGTTTCTTCTTTCAAGTAAGAAGACATAAAAGCTGGCATCTTTACTCCAAAGTCCCGGAATTAATTTCCAAACCTAGCAAATCATAATGTCCCAAAGCTATCTGCAAAAAAAGATGCATTTCTTTTCTTCACAGACAGCTTAGGGATTGTTTTGAAAGCAAAAATCTTAAGTGGCCCCAAACAGTTCATAGTGTGAGTTTCTCCCCAATCGCTTCTGCTGGAACCTTCCTGGCAGCCCTGGGTGTCACCATTCCTTCTGCAGAATGGGGGAGCTATCGCCACCTGAGCAGGACACACATACATGTATGTGTGTACACACGCTCCCCAGTGAGGGAACTGGGCCTTGCACAGGTGCGTCCTCTGCCTCTGCTGCATTGTGGCTAAAAGTGGGTCCTTCCCAGGGTGCACCTCCCCTCTCTGAGCAGCACATGGTGACCAGGCCACGCACCAGGTCAAGACCCCAGCAGTGCGTGGAACACGCAGTACCTTCCCTGGAGGGAGAGGAGCGAAGGCCCCGTGCCCTGCATTACCTTCAGCACCGTGATGTTCCAAGCGAAGCTCTCGGCCGCCTTGTTGAGTTTCCTCCCTTTCAAGCCCTCCTTCGCCGCCAGGTTGTGCAGCTCTTCGTGGAAGCCCATCCCTTCAAAAGAGGAACACCAAGAAACCCTGGCACAAACTTCAGAAAAATGGCATTTTGTTGTAAAAGTGATATCAGTAAAATAAGTCCCATCCATGTCCTCTATGCCATCTACACCCCTGAACTGAGTTCTCCTCATTTTATTCACCCCATTAATTCACCTCAGCTGTCCACGGGGAAACCAGCAGGAATCAGCATGGGTGACGTTACCTCTGGTGGCCAGGAGCCAGCGATGAGGATGGACCAGCAGCTCCCACCCCACCTGTCTCGGGGAGTCACGGGGAAAGGTGGGTGCAGGAAGGTGATGCAGGGAAGGGTGGCCCAGGGGAGGGTACATGAGGCTTCCTTCTGCTATGACCCGGCCCTGTGGCTTCAACTGCTGCCCTGAAGCCCTTATGGTTAACCATCAGGAATTAGTAAATGTGGACTAAAAATAAAAAGACTTTCAAAAATAATCCTGAGAAATACCCAAGTGTGCAGCCCTGGGAACGGCTCTGCCACGTCTGGGCCTGGAAAGCCACGAGACGGCAACAGCATCTGTCTCTGCACATGTCACTTGCCTCCCAGGATGGAGCAGCCTCTGAGGACAGAACAGCCTCCTGAGGACAGTTCGCTGCCCAGGGCTGATGCAGGCCAATGTCCTCTCGAGAGTTTCTCCTTCCAGCAGCACCGTCAGGCAAGGTCCCATCCCTTCTCCACAGTACAGCCCCTCGGCCCCTCGGTATTTGAGGGAAGGGTATGGGACACCCCCTCAAGCATCTGGGTCAAGCATCCGACATGACTCAGCCTCCAGCGACTCTCCTTTAAGGACGGCACCCAGGCAGGGCCACTGCAGCGCCCCGGGTGCAGCATCCAGCAGGGTGGGGACCTGGCACGGCACCACCTATGGGTGTCATCAGAGTGTGCCTCCTGTCGGCACAGTGGGCTGGCAGGGACCTTGGGTCAGGGACTCTGCCACTCAGGTGCTCAGCTGCAGCCTCCTGAAGCCAGATAGCACAAGACCCCACTGCGGAGCTGTAGGGGATGGAGTATGCTCAGTGTCACGTCACGCTCACAAGGCAATGCCACCACCTCCATCTTCCCCGCCGCAGCGCACAGCTGAGGCAGGGCAGCGTACTGGGCCAGAGGTGCCTTCCAGCAGACAGGGGACCTTCTCATCCCTGGTCTACCACGAAGACCACGAAATGGGGCCAAAACGTGGACAATTAATTAAGGTCATGACTCAAACTGTAAGGATGAGTGGGGTTAGGGAGCATGAAAAACCACAGCTTCCAAGCCATAGGAAAGATGTGGAAGCTCCAAACTCTCCAAAGTAGAGTCAGGAGCCCCGACAGCAGGGACATCTTTAGACACCCCCACCCCTCCCATGTGCACAAATCCAGCCACTGCTACCATCCGGAGATCTTTGGTGCTCAACAAAGACCTCGGTAACTTAAAGCACAGTTAAAAAAAAAAAAAAAAAAAAAAAACACCGTAAGATACTACAGGAGAAAGAACAAGACCTTTTTAAAAGTCTGCAAAGAATTATCCCAACAGTTTTTAAATAAAACAAACAATTACCTGCTTTCTGACACTGGACAATCTTTTCCTGAACTCCGTCTGCCATCTCTATGAGAAACCGGCTCTCTTGAATCATCTGTCACAAAACAAACAAACATCAAAAGAGTGGTTGTCAGAAACTCTCAAGCTGGGTATTCAGGAAGGTGACATTGGGAGAGACCACAGAGACACACAGGAGCAGGAGCCAGGGCTGGACGGACAGAGAAGAGACGGGACAGAGAAGGCCATCTCCGCCCGGCCCCTGCCTATCCTCACCACGGCTCCCTGGTCACACGCCATACACACAGCGGGCACAGATGAATAATCACTGAGTACATGGGCACGTGCTCCTAATTCCCAGCTCCCGCTCACGAGCACCTCTGCTCTCTGTGTGGCCTAAAGACTACTACAATTCCAATGGAGAGTCACCCAGGGACGAGCTTCAGGGCCACCAAACAGTTGGATAAGTTGGCAGCTTGACGCTGGTGGCAGAGACAGGGAGTCCTGGCTCCTGGTTCAGCAGGGCTGGACTGGCAGGAATGAGGACTCGGCGGAGCTCCGGACAGTGGCGCGGATTCCTGTGCTTTGCTCTACCTCTGGGTAGAAAGCAAAAGGCCCAAGAGGGGGCAAAAGACTACTGCTACCAGAGAAAAGAAGAGGCTGTGTGTGACACAGAAGGTGACGGCGGTGTAAAGCCGGTCACGGATACAAAGCCGTGATTGGAAAAGGCTTAGGGCTCCTGGGAAATGCAGGAAGTGACTGAAGAAAGGCAGCCAACTGGTGTCAGTTTCTGAGTTTCCAGCCACTCAGAAGCCTTGGCCTGTCGTCTGGACAGTCCACAGGGATGATCTGAGGGACCCAGGGCAGAATCCAAAGGGGACATGACAGGTCTCGAGTCAGACATTTCCTGCGCTCGTGACAGATGCTGATGAACACGCTGTCATCTTTTGAGTGTATCAAGGATGATTTCTACAAACGTCTGACAGACAGAGATACGGAGGTACAACTTCTGAGTGCCCTAACAATGCCACAGGACTAATCACAGCCCTTGTTCATTTAACAAATACCCACCAAGCAGCCACTATGGGTTCAATCGGTAAACGCGAAAATGCACTGAGGGGGGAACACACACCCCTGCACCTCCCCGGAGCTCACAGCCCAGCAGAGAAGTCCACTTGAGTGAGTGAACGGAATGGATATCAACTTAACCAAAGGGCAAGTACTCACCGTCTCTGCCAGCAGCGAGAGTTACGCTGACTATCAAGACCATCCAACTGGGTACCCGGGAAGGTCTACACCGAGACTATCAAGACCATACAACTGGGTACCCGGGAAGGTCTACACCGAGACTTCTGAGCTGCACCAACTCTTTGAGCTCCCAAGGGGAAGTGAAGGAAGCAGTAGCCTGAGTTGTGGTGGCCTCCAGATTAAAAATACTGAAGAGCCAGAAGAAAATTAAACAGGATGGCAATCGGATTTAGTTTGCTCCAACATCCACACATGCAACATCTATGGAATCTTTTCCAAAGTGATCGGATATTACAGTTAGCCACGGAGCAGATAAAAGGTTCTCCTGAAGTTCAGGCAGGAGAAACATCTCCAAAGAACAGACACGTTCTATGCACGCGTCCTGACATAAAAGAGACCGCAGCTCTACCTCGTACCCTAAATGTCCCCCAGAGCTTCTGTGTTAAGGGCTTGGTCCTCAAGGGAGCACCAAAATCAGGAAGAGGGGTGTGTTCAGTCTTTGTGCCCTCACTCTGGCCCCTCCTCTCCCTCTTCCCACCACGAGGGAAACAGTCTGCCACGTTCTCCCTGCCATGACCACCTGACACTCACCGTGATCAATGGACCCAAATGACCATGGACTGGAACCCCGACACCATGGACAAATGGACTTTGCTTTTTATAAGTTAGTTATTTCAAGAATTATAAGAATGGAAACCCTACAGACACATCTTTAAAAGTCTGGACTTTAAGGCTGATGGAATCTTAGTTGTTATAATCACTTCCTTCAGTTTGTTGAAACCAAGAGAGATTAAAATTCCTGTCCAATGAGTGGAATTAGTGGCCAAGCTGGAATTAGCATCCCAGTTGCCTGGCATCCAGCCTATTTCCATGGTAAAATGCTACCTCTCTGATCTTATCTGGCCTCGTGGTGGCCCATGAGAAGCTGCACACACAAGCTGAAACCAAGCACTGCAAAGTGACCTGGTGGGGTCCACTGGAACAGACTTTCAGACGTGCACGTAACCGATCTGTCTGAACCAGACCCGTGCCCGTCTTTACAGAGGATGATGGATAATTTCCTTTGATAACATCTGCACCGAGCTGCTGTTTGCTTCTCTTGGTTTTGCTCTCAGAAGAGAAAATGACACTGTGCTCCACTAAAAGCCTTTATTGATTGATTCGTGGCTGTTTATTTACAGTATTTTACTGCCTCGATGCCCGCTCAGTGCACAGCGCACGAGGAACACACTCCTTGCATCTACAAATCTCAAAGCCCCCATGCAAAGACAGCGAGGAAGTTAGCCAAAGCGGACTCTCCATGTAAACCTGCATCTCCTCCCCCTGCATTTCTTGGGGATCTGGTCCTAAAGCCTCTTCTTTCTTTCCTTCTTCAACAAGTTCTGCCTCTCCCCTGGCCTCTTCTCTTCTGCACGAATTATCTCTTAAACATAGCAAATAAAAGCAGTAGCAGAATGCCATACTGACCCTCCAGTGGCCTGGTCATCTCTCCTTCCTTGATTTCATTTTATCTTCAGAAAGCCCGCTGCCCTTCCCAGAGTAAACCTTTAGCTTTATGTTAATGTTGAGTCACCTTTGACGAATGCTCTGGGTCCATTTTTCACAGCCTCAGGGACCTGTACAACTCCACCTCTAGATGATATATTCAGAGCACACCTGCCTGAAAGTTCTCACAGGAATTTAAAACACTCAAATGATTAAATATGTTAGGCAAATATTTCTTCACTGTGCACAGAAAAATTAGGCATTAAAAGAGCACAAACCTACCTACCTGGAGAAAAAAAAATGTACAAAGGTAAAGCATACTTTTCTTGCAAAACTACCTGCAAATAAAATTCTGCTTGGCTCCAGGTGGGAGGGGGGTGTGGTACAAACCACCGCGATGGCTCCCCTAGGACTGCAGGTCCTGAAGCAGCTCAGGACAGGCTTGTCACCTGGCTCCTTCCCTGTGCTGCCTTCCTATCAGGGTCCCCCGGCCCTGGGGACAGAAAGTTCACTTCCAGCCATTTCTTTGCCAGGTAACTGACGTGATGCCTGACACGTGACATGCATCCAAACACGTTCCTTCAGTGGAAGGCCTGGTGGTCACCTTACCTCTCCGCCTCCTCCGCCTGCTTCTCTCAAGACACAGAACATTCCGAGTTCCATCCCAGCAACCTGCAGTCTCCGCTTATCTATCTCACCCTGAATACAGCGAGGAGGGCTCCTTCCCCACGGTGTGAGTGGAGTGAACACGCACCGTGGGAAGTCCGTATGCGAGTGTTTTGTGAATAAGGTCACTTTTGAGAGCGCATAGGACAGAAGTCTGTGCTTAACTGATGGCAAGTGGCAGAAGCGAGGGAGGTGCCCAGGGGGAGTGGCGGGAGCAGACAAAAGACGGCACAGAGAGGGCAGTGGAGAGGGGATGTGTGTGACCGAGGGGCTGGCGCCGTCCCCGGGGCAGAGGCTGTGGTCAGCATCCCACAGCACTCAGCGCATCACAAAGCATCACATCCCACACTTTGAATGCACAGAATCCTTATGTGTCACCTGTATCTCTATAATAAAACCAGGTAGTCGCTCCAGTTGTTGCGTTAGACAGAGGTAGGACCACGTGAAGAGGTCTCAGATCATAAAAACCCCAGGCAGAAGAAGAGGACCAAGCATCTCGGCGTGGCCACGGGGAGAAGCCGGCTCTACCGGCACTGACTGGGCATCGAAAGACACGGGCGGAGTTAAGAGAGGAGGACTGAGGAGGCCCGGAGGGCCACGGGCTGCTGGCATGATCTTCTGCCATGCTCAGAAGGCTGAGTGGCACCTGGATATAAAAAGACCACTCAGCTTGTGTCCCGTTAAATTCATTTGTCCCTGAGGCATGAAGGTGGTGTGACAGTGCCCGGCCCCCTGGTGCAGAAATGTAATTAGAGTTAACCGTCAGGACCGGGGTGAAAGATGTGTTTTGAAAACACAACTAAAGCTGCATGACTAACGCACTAGTGCAGGGTGAGAAAAGTTACACACCTGCCAGCTAACTGTGAGTGTCCCACTGAAATGGCAAAGCACTGCCCACGGTCACTACTGTGTGCCACAGAGGGACCCTCGCTGCAGTCTCTGGCCACAGCCTTGGCAGGTGCCTCTGTGCCTGCAAGCTCGGGGACCACAGGGCCAGCGGACAGCAGGGACACAGGGGTCCCCAAGTCCCTCTAAAATTAAACACCACACCTTGCCGCTCTCTGTTCCCACACTAAAAACCCCAGGCAGAAGAAGAGGACCAAGCATCTCGGCGTGGCCATGGGGAGACTTCTACAATCACCTATTCTAAACGGCCCCCAAACTAAAACTAACCCTAAACAAATGCTCTTACTTTTATGTGAGGTCTATAATTACTTGGCACTGAAGGTAGAGACAATGGCTCTCTGCTTCTCTCCGTGCTGTGGGGATTTTTCTAGAGAAAGTGAGCTTGTGGTGAGCGGAAGTCAGAAATGGCCCTGTGTTTCCAATGATGGTCCAGTCCTGAAGTCCTGAAGAAGTGTCCTGATGCCCCTAGGGCCAGCAGTCTGGGGTCCCCAGAGCGCCTCTGCGCCCCTGGCTGCAGCTGTAGCCTGGGCTGGGCCCTGGGGAGGTTCCACACATGGCCACCTCAGCCACGAGGAGACACTGTGCCCTGCCACAGAGGCCGTCTCTTCAGTCGTTGCCCTAAACAGGACACAGCCCGCTCCTGGCACTGTGGGCACCGGGGACAGGGCTACTCCCAAACACTCTGCCTGCCTCACCCAGCCCTGGGGACCCTGTGTCCCTGAGCAGGAAGAGCCCGGGAAACGGACTCCACTCAGTCCATACAGAAGCCTGAATGAAGTGCGAGCTGAGCACTGTGGCCCAGAGAGTTATCGCATTAAAAAGATAAAAAGTCTGGACCTGAAGGACCTGGTCACAAGTTTGAAATTCCAAGGAGCCAGGAACGGACAGGTTGGAGGCACAGCTGTGCGGGGGGTGAGCAGACTGTGTCCTCCAGGGTCTCAGGCTGAACCACATAAACCGTCCAGTCTGCCACAAAACACCAGGTTACCACTGACATCAACACGGCCTGCTGGGCAGAACTAACACTGCGCGCTAAGGTCAGAGTGAGCTTTAAGGCGGGAAGAAACTCCAGCTCTGGGCTGAGCAGTGTCTGGCAGCAGCTCCCTGTGGTCACTCACAAAAGATCTGCAGGACAAGCTGGAATCGGTATTTCCAAGAGCGTGTCCTCCTCTGTCGCGAGCGGCGCGGTGCCACTTCAGGCGAGCACAGGCGTCATCGGGTTCACCAGAGCCGCTTCTGTGGCCCCGGAGCGAGCCCAGCTCCCCACTCAGAAAGGCTCTGGCGTCATTTTGCTAAACAGAGGCCGCTGCTTTTCAGAGGCTGCGTCTGAGAAGCTGTGCGCTGGGAGGGTCCCCTGTCCCCCCACCAGGCACCGAGCCCAGGTGTCCTTCTGTCCCATTCCCCCAGATGAACAATAAAACTGTTGGCGTCTTTACACTGCACTTATGAGACATTCAAAGTGACACAGAAGGTGGGCAGCAACACAGAGCTTCCCCAGGGCCTGTCCCTCCACTGCCCGTCCTATGATGGACAGTGCTCACCACAGGCCGCCAGACAGCGCTGCCATAGCACTGCTAGCTGAGTCCACAGTATGCATCAGGGTGGATTCTGGGAGTCCTGACAAGTGTAACAATAAGTGTGTGAAGAAACACATGCCCACTACAGCACCGTGTAGAGTCCCTGCACGGCCTCTCTGTGTCCACTGAGTCACCACCCCAGTGCTGAGCTCCTGACGATGACTGACTTCTCGGCTGTGGTCAGCAGACTGCCTGCAAATGACTTACATTTATCCTTCTTTAGGGCACAGTAGTGCTCCACTGTGTGGGAATACCACGTTTTTTGCTGATGGACATATAGAACACTTCCAAGATTTGTCTATTACGAGTTGTGCTGCTACAAACATGGGTGTGCATCAGCGTGATAAGGGGACCTTGAGCCTTTCAGGAAGACGCCTATAGGACGGGAGAGCTGGACTGAATGGAGTTTCAGTTTTAGGGTTCTGAGATGTCTCCACAATGGTTGCGCCAGTTCACATAACACCACGGGTGCAGAAGGTCCCCCTGCCTGGTACCCCGCCTGCACTCGTTATTATCTGGTTTCTTGATGATGACAGTGCCCACTGGTGAGAGGACAGTGACAGGGTCCCTGGATCTGCAGAGCAACTTTGGAGACACCTTTAAAATCAACACCGATTCACCATGAGCACTAAGGAGGAATACCCTGCAGCCCCTGGACTGTGAACGTGAAGATCCCCCTCGGGCGGTCACCCAGGACCCATCCCAGAGGAGTACACGGCAGCAGGACCAGTGTCGTGTCCAGGGACAGTCCCCCCGCCCCGCCCCGCCCCTTCCCTGCTTGTATGGTGAGCTCAAACCCAGGCCTCCTTGGGAGCATTTCCACCGCCTGCAGCAGCCTGTTTTAAATCCTGGAAGACAGCATCAGTCTGCACAGAGCAGTGAACAACACAGACGAGACAAAGGGGCTACGGCTTCATTGTCAGCCGTCAGCAGAGGACAAAGCACTGCGGGCGAGCGTGAGCAGACACCGTACCCAGGTGCTCGTCACGGCAGCCACCAGCGGGTCCCTTCTCAGCACACGACGAACAAGTGATTTCGGCTGTCTGTCTCTATGGCAACTAGGACCCTAATTTCTCCTCTGAGGTGGCAATTACACCTATTCACTGAACAGCTTTCAATGCCTGCTTTTATGATGAAAAAATTGATTTCATGAAAATTGAGACTCGGCCTGAGGTGGACCCAGGCCCTGGGGAAGCTCGCCTGGGGGCATTTGCCCCACACTTTCCAGAGAGCTCTTAATGGTGTATTAGCTTTCCTTCCCTAGCATCTGTTATTATGCACAGGATTGGCAGATTCCTTGTGAAGAGCTTGGCGAGCACAGAGAAAACAGAGGAGCAGAAACACGGGCGCTGCCTCTCCGCATCAGGAACAGCGTGGGTGCCCAGCTCGAGTGGCAGACACAAAAGGGACACAAGGTCATTACACTGCACCCCGGGCCCGGATCACAGCCCTGTCATAGAGCACACTGCGGTGTCCCTCTGTCCACTACATGCCCCTCCGATGCTGTCCGTGTGACTTCAAGGAATATATAGATTACTACACTTGACTCCTTTATGTTGACATTATTAAAAATACATAGTCACATCTCTGTTGTCTTAGAATAAGTCCTAAGAAAGAAAATACACAGAGGCAATTAATAAACATTTTAACCTATATTGTTAACATTTTCTCTAAAAACCATGTATATATCCACACACACACACACACACACACACACACACACACACACACGTATCCACTTGTTTTCCCACTGGGGGAGTGTGGAGGAGAACGCTCCTTCCCCGAAACCCGCGTCAGAGCAACCTCATTTCCTAGGCAAAGGCAGCCGTGTGCGGTGTGCTGGAAGGGCAGGGTTTCACACATCCGTCTCTCTCTGAGCTCTGTTAGAGACAGGCCGAGCCCAGCCACGAGGCTGAGGTCAGGCGGGATGCGCTCCAGCGCAGCACGCTGCCTCTCTCCCCAAGCAAACACCTCTTCTAGAGTGAATGTGTTCTGCGTGTTTATGTTTTCTGAGCGGGGTGGGGAGGGGTGAACTGCCTGGTCTCCTCCCGAGCACACCTGTCCGGGTCCCGTCCCTTCTCTAAGTCCCAGGAGCAGAAGGCACAACTCGGAGCACAGAGCTCCTCGACAGGACACCTCCACCTCACTGTAACTAAGCATGGTGATGCACCAATCCACGATGGTGAAGTATGAAAGTTCACTCAGAGAAGCATCCCTAAAGCAAAATGGTCTCCTCCCCCTCCTCAAGGTTTCGGATGGTCGAAACGCAGATGTTACGACTGGAGCCTGGGCAGCTAGCATGAGCCATGAGCCATGAGCCACGAGCATCAGGGTTACGCCGCAGATGGGGAAGCAGAGGGCAAGGAGCCTGGCTTCCGAAGCACTCTGCCAGTGACACTCTCCAGTTCTCTATGCAAGAACTAAACTCGCCACTCATGAACAGCTGTGTTTTGTCACATGCAATGGACAGAAGAGCCCTCATCTTTCTTCTGATAGCAGGTGGCAGTTGCTGCACCCCAGGGCCTCGCCCGGGACGGTGCACACACACAGACACACCCACAGGCCACACTTCCTACCAGGTCGTAAGCAGCCAGCATCCTCTTCTGCACGTCCGGAATGGTGCCCAGAGGCTCCAGGTATGGGAAGGTGTCTCTCATCACCAGTGAGACGGAGGGGCTGTTGTCGCCGGTGATGAGCCTGGAGGACAGCGTGAGCAGGCACTGCTTCAGGCTGGCGATGGGCGGCAGCCCGCACAGCTCCTTCACAGACACGATGGCATTCTGGGGGCAGAGAGCAGTGTCACACGGCTGCACACAGCCCGGCACCCACCCGGCACACAGGCAGAGCCCAAGTGAAGCCGTCTATCAGAGGAGCCTGCGGGATCCCGGCCACGCAAGGTGCGGGTTGGGGGACCCTCAAGACCATGGTGGTGACCCTACGACTCCACCCTGCTCGAGTGTCAGCGGCTGCTGCTGACACACACAGAGCAAAGCGGTGGAGATAAGGCCACTGCACGGAGCTGCAGGAGCAGAGCAGACAGCAGCGGCACGGCACCTCCACCGGGCAGGTACTGCCCTGGAGACGCCTCCTCCCTCGGACACTGCCCGCAAGGGGCTGCAGCTGCCCCCCTTCGGTGTCCCTGCCCACCGATGGGCGCAGTACCCCTGAAACTCTACACACACACACACTGAAAATGCATCTCATGTGGAGCTGCATTTGTCTGTGCTACAGTGTAAGAAGCCATTTTCGGTAGGAATTACAACTGCTTTCCACCTTATTATCAGTGAACAGTATCCAACTCCTAAGCCCTCATTAATTTAATGACAGTGATTGCATTCACTTTTCCAATGATTAGACTCCAAATTATCCTTAGCCCAAAATACTTTCTGTTAAGATGTATAACAGAAGGGCTGGGGATTTAGCTCAGTGGCATAAGCACCTGCCTTGCAAGCAGGCGGTCATTAGTTCGATCCTCAGTACCGATTTAAACAAATCAAAAAAAAAATTCAATGGAAGATGTATAACAGGGGAAACTTTACAACCAGCCCTTCTTCATATATATTCTAAATATGTAAGTGATATAGTCTATTTAAAGAAATATATAGAACTATACAAAGTGTACTATGTAAAGTTACACATACAAATGATGTCTAAGGGTGTACAGTTGTGCAAAAACGGTATCAGAAAATGTCACATAGAGGATGCTGGCGTTTGGAGCCTATTTTAAAGTAGCAGTTAAGATAACATACCTCAAAGCAAGTAGTGAAAACCCAGCTGTGATTTACGTACACGGCTGTGCTCCACCATTTGGGCTATTTAAAATCTACTTTAAGCTTACTCCAGTATTTCTCTGTTAAAGCGATATAACAAAAAGTTGTCCACAAGCCATGGATTCTGCACCATGTGACAAGCAGGTGGCCTTGTGTTAGGTTCCTCTGGAGTCTGACAAATGACTGAACCACAAGTTTACCTGGGGTCTTGAAGGTAGGGATTTTTGAGGAAGACCCTCCCGCAAAACACATTAGCTACAGGAACACAGTAAACCGGAGTGTTCACTTTGCACGATACAAAGATGGGGTCAGTACTGACCACTTCTCAGCAACCCCAGCCTGCGCCTGTGAGAAAGCATCAGCACAGACACAGAAATCCATGGACAGAAAGGCATGGCCCCCGGACTTGTGCGCAGCAAGCAGGCCACATCCACATGGGCTCATGCACTGACCCTGACATGTAAACGTACCTGCTCCTCCTACCTTACATGGGGCACACAGATGTGATCGGGATCGGCATTCACTGACTCCAGAACACAGACAGCCGAACTGAACCCAGAACCTGCGTTCCTTCAACTCACCCTCACTTATAAGAGAAGGCTGGGTCATTTTCAGCAAATCTAACTGTGGATGTTTGTTTCATTTCACCTGTTCTCATGGGTCCTAATTTTTTATTATACACCTAAACAACTAAAGAATAAACTTAACAGCTGTTCCATGTGTTTTGATGTCAAAGTGCCCTTCCTATTTGCATCTCCAAATATTTACACGTACACCTGTCCTTATTAGGTCCGAGCACGCACTGTGTGTTACACACATTTTCCCTCTACTACACATCGCTCCGTCCATGTGCACACGCACCAGCTCCGCTGTGTGCTAAGGGAGGTGAGTGGACGTACAGCGTTTTACTGCACTGACTCTCCATTTAACTGGCTTAATGAGGCCCAGCTAACCGTCGTGTGCACCGTCAGAAACAAAACACTCCTACTGGGTCAGGGGCAGCACCAGACACAGCCCGTGCGAGTGTGTCCTGCAAAGCTCACAGGACACCACGCGCCCTGGCGGGCAGGGCTGGTTCGCCTACCTGCATGTTCTCTCTCATCTCTATGGCTTCTCGTAAGGGATGCACCGCTACTTTGAAGACGTCGTCGATGGTTTTGAGACCGATGTTCCTGAGCATGGTGTACTCCCGGACTTTCTTTCCCATCCTCACCGACAGGCTGCGCTTCTGCCCCTTCCCTCCGCCGCTCCGGTTCGTTATCGCTATGTGGACAAACAGGGTCACATGCTCCATGACGTCGCCCACAAATGAGCGCAGGGGGACGTGCCGGTATCCGGGCTGCAGGCATTCGAACGGGATGGTGTACTGCCCGATAAACTCGTCCCCGATGTAGTCATCATCCAGAACCACAAAGCGGATCATGGCCAGCTCGGGAAGGTTCACTTGGAACTCAAAAGTCTCATCAAAAATGGGGTTATCACTGTTTTGCTGTACAGTTTTAGTTCTTTGCTCCGCGCAGTCGGCCGGGATCCCGTGTATTTCCACGCAAACGTAGGGGTCGATGACATCCCCTTTGGCACACGCCCCCTTGGGCTTTGGGAAATTCTGGCCGCTGATGATCTTGATGTGCAGGGCCAGAGGGGACACGCCAGGCACGACACCCTTTGTGTTGGCGCTGAAGTAAGAAATCTCATCTCGCATGACGGATGGCCGCAGGACGTAGCCACAGCCCCCGTTCTGCAGGAACCAGCCCGTGTGCAGGTCCATCATCGGACCCGGAGTCTGGAAATTCATCGCCACGATCTGGCAGCCACAGTTCCAAAAGTCCTGCGGGTTCAAATTACTGGAATCGATCCGCATGGCACTTGGGTAGACCCTTGATAAAAACTTCTTGTTATAATTGACAAAGTCCTCTGGGTATTCATTCGCAATCCGGCTGGCCTCTGTCTCACTAAACGAACAAATTTCCCAATAGTTCTGGCTTTTCATGGACAGTTCAAAATCCCTGCACTGAACGGATTTACAAATGGATACCAAATCGGACAGCTCGCGACAGAGTTGTATCTGTTTCTGCTCACCGCTGTCATCGACAGACATCCTGCGAGACATGTCGGCTTCCTCATCTTCATCTGTGACTTCTCCTTCCAGCGCGTCGGAATCGGAGGGCAGTTTCTTTCCTTTCACGATGATCTTCCTTTTCAACTTCTCTGGTGACGGGAGGTAGGATTCGGACAGCAAGGGGGCTTCTGTGTAGAGCTGATCGCCGAAGACTTTCTCCATGTGTTGGGCCATAACCTTCTGCTGGGACAGGGAGCAGTGGTTCCCCAGGCAGAGGATGAGTGGGTACTCGGAAGCAACGAAGGCAAACTTATGAATCACCTCCAGGACGCTCTGAAAGGACAGGGGCGTGCTCATGTTATTCCGATTGCAAAGGATTGGCTCATTATCTGGACCATCGCTCACATCCAGTTCCACGCTCCGACAGCCCATCTTCAAAGCTCTGACGTAGCCGCTGACGTCAGCTGGGCCCCGGAACTGGTCTTCCGTTAGGTAGGTGTTATGGGAGGCGCTGATGTAGTAGTGTGACAAGGGCTGGCCCATGTCTTGGGCCACCTTCTTTTGCTCAGGATCAAAAATGTCACATTCTGGCGACAGTAAGTACTGAGTAAAGCCATCGATGGCAAGAAACCCCTTCTGACGCCCTTCCTCAGAGAGCTCGAACCTCCTGATGATGTCCAAGCACGTCTCCTCCGTGATGTGGCCGACTCCCTGCTCCGCCTCCAGAAACAGCATGAGGTCATCGGCGTCCAAGTACTCCTTGTTTTTCGATATCTGTACAAGTAAGAAGTACACTTCTGGCCGAGTACAAAGTTCACAAAAAGCTTCGCAGAACTCCTCTTCGGTCACTCGGGTGGTTAGTTTTTCTTTGCTCTTCTGGATTTCTTTAAACTTTAACCTGATCTTGGATTCCTTCAGGGTAGGGTCGAGTTGCTTTATTAACTCGACAGCTGTGTCTTCCAACATGATCCCATTCCCGTCGACATCTGCAGCTTCGAACATTGTCTTCAACCACAAGAACCGCGGGGTGTCCTGGCTGCCCTCCATGCAGTCCAGGGGCTGTTTACTGCGAGACACCAGGTACCGAAGTCCAGACACCCAGATGTTGGCAACATCCGCGGAGTTGGCCACCAGGTCCAGAGACTCATAGTTTTCCCCGTGGAGGATGGAGAAGGCGCAGTCCTCGCAGATCTGGTCAGCGAGCCCATTGCTCCTGAACGTTTCTGTGTTCTTCCCCAGCCGGATCTCCTTGATGGCCGCGATGTCCAGCTTGGCCTTCTCCTGGTCCTTCTTGGAGGGCTCCCAGCGGAGCGCCTGGAGGTCGGGGTCCAGGGTGAAGAAGCGGTTGTAGATGCGTGCGTTGGGCCGCACCTTCTTCAGCTCGCAGCCGGCCTGCATGAAGCTGATGCAGTCCTGGGCGCTGCTGATCTTCTTCTCTGAGGGCATGCTGCTGAACGACACCGTCTTCTTCCTCCCGCCGCATTTCTGGTTTGAAGGATCCTGGAAAGTAATTGGCAAACAATGAATCAGGCTCTCTGAGGAAATGAACACATGCAGAAACACTCTAGGGACCCCCGAGACACTCCTGTGAGCGTGTGGCTATGGGAACAGCAGCCAGCCTAAAATTCAGCCTTCACTGAAAAAAGAGGCACCACTAACAGATGTATTGGGAAAGAAACTTGTTTTGCAAGTGTCCGTGTGTTCTTTCAATGAAAAGAAAGCAGTAAGCATGCATCAGGGGTCTTCGTTTCTTCCAGGGGACTTCTCAGGAGCCCTTCCTATGGGACATCAAATGTCACCCATTGAGACCAACAGATCGTATGCAGCTGAAACACGGCAGGTGGCAGTGTGCTTCCTGAGTGAATGGGGGCCTCTCACTCACTGCCTTCCAAAATCCAGGCCTGGTCTTCTGAATGCTCAAAATACTCCTCTTGGCCTTGGACTGCCCACCGTATTTGGTAGTGTCCACTCCTTTTCACTGGACATCTGACAGAAGCCACTTCAAGCTGCATATTTCTTTAGATCTTTTACTCGATTTAATAATGTGCCCAACCACATTATCAATTTAAATTATTCTCCCACAAACAAATTTCCCCAAGGCATCTTAATGTACTCTTTGAGCACCTGATTTTATCAGCATTCCAAAGCAGCAGCACACGGCCTACAAAGGGCATTGTATTTAGGTCAAAAATAATGAGTCTCGAAGAAGGGAGTCAGGGAGGGGTGAGGAGACAGGTGGAGAGATCTGAGTGTGTTACATGCACGCAGGAACTCGCCAAAACAAACCCACCGCTCCGCATGACTAACACGCACTCAGTCAAGAAGAAATAGTTCCTGTGCTACTATTCCACACACCAGAACCACGGCCTTGGGAAGCCACTTAACGTCCCTGAATCTCAGTCTCGGCTTCTCAAACAGGAATTAGTAACCTGTATGTACAATACACTATTCTTGTGCAACTCAAGAGAAAATGTTCCTGCCTGTTCCTTGTAAAGTTAAGTGTGTGCCAGGCTACTCTTGAGGCAGAAGAAGAGTCCGTCCCAGGCCTGGACCCATCACTGGGAGCCCATGGGCAGACGCTGCCCAGCGTCCAGGGAGCCACCTCTGCACACTGAGGACAAATCATCAGTGACACAGGGCCAGTACAGCACCGCTGGTCCTCTTCACTTGGGGCAGCCTCTCCTCTCCGAGGCCTGTTGAGCCAGGCCTTCCTGTACTACGATTAGGGGAAAGTGAAGTGATTTATTACTTAATTGGCTAAAATCCTGCCTGTGAAAGGAAACAAAATTTGCTTTAGTTCTGAGGTCTGGTGGATGATTCATTGACTCAAATGTGTATCAGATCCCCAAGTGACAAAGATATAAATTACCCAATTAAGAGTACAGAATATTGCTTCTCTGTTCCCTGGCATTTGGCAACATAGCTTCCACTCAGAGAATTGCTATTTTTAATTTCCTCACCCTTAAGTTAAAAAACAACCATAGCTTCTCAGCTGGCTGTGCGTATATGCTCTATTAAAGCCCATTTAAATCCGTCATGACCACACATGGAGAAGTCTCATGTCATGTACATTCTCGCACACCCCCAAGCCAGGCACCTAACACCCAGGCTGGAACGGGGCTCATCCCCCAAGTAAAATAAAGGGGGAGACGGAAACGTGACGGTCACTGAGGCTTCAACTCCAAGCCCTCAGACTTGCCTTTTACGCCGTGAGCTCTCACATTAAAAGCTATCTCTGTGGAAGAAGATCTCGGTCCAGAGTTCTTGTCGGCAGAGCCGTGAAACCCCCAACAGCTCCTCACAAGCCTCAAATGGGAGTGAGGGTCCTGTGGCACCAGCGATAGCATTCCCCTCACCCCTCTGCTCTGTGATGATGCCTTCTTCAACCAAGGCTTCTCCTAGGAAGAGAAGCCTTCAACTGAGAGACACATTTTTTTTATGAAGCCCGCAAAAGAATCTACCTGTGCTACAATGCTTATATCCTGCTTTGCCCTGCAATTTCTACATGATTGAAAAAACTATCCCAAAATGCCTTAAAACCTGGGATCTGGGGGAAAGACACAATTCTTAAGTTGTTGTCTCAAAAAACAACATCGAAAGCTATTACAAGGCCCCAAATGAGCGAAAACCTGGCCAAAGCATGTGTGAACAAGTAATTAGCTTGTCTGCTGATGCCGACTGCCAAGACTGCTTTATATTAAAATATTCTGGAAAGGGTTCAGGACTCCAGCGTTCCTATAGCTCTGCCACAGTAAAGGAAAATCTCTTTTCCACACTTAAGCTACCCACCGGCTTTGGGAGTCTGGGAGGGAGGTGAAGATGGGGTTCAGGGGACACGGAGGGTCCCTTCTTCATGGCCATGATCTGTTCCCCAGAACCCTGGCCCCACACCCGTGCCCTCTTGGGGATCTTGGCTGCTTTGCAGAGAGAGAAGATCAGTTAAGGTAAATAGGCTGAAAAGAATTCAAGAATCGGTTACAGGTGTCCCTTGTTGATAAACACGAAACGGTGAGGAAGAAACAGGAGCCACCCACTGCCGCGTTCCGTGCAGCCCGTGGACCGGAGAGGCAGGTGCCCTGGGCGTGCACCAGGAGAAGCCAGGTTTATCGTCAGCTCAGCCGCTGGCCAAGCAGGCAACTGCACAGCCAACGATGGTCCTAACATCGAGCTGATTTTTATAAAGTAGGTCTTTCAGTTTTCAAAGCTCCATCTCCTTACTCTGAACAAAGGTAAGAAGCTGAAGACCATCCCCTGCCCCTCACCCCATCTTTTGTGTTCCTCTTGGAACAGAGCAACAAAGCAAGTCCCAGTCCCTGGGCTGAGCAGCGCGCTGTGATGCCTGTCCCCAAAGTCCACGGTCATCCTCCTGTCCTGTGTGGTGCAAGGGTTACTCGGGTATGGAGCCCAGCCTTTCCAAGTCCTACCACTCCATGCTCAAGTCTCCAAAGGAACGTTCCCCAAACATTGAGACAAGCTAAAATAAACTAAGTAAACCAAGTGGAGCTCGAAGGATCCTGAACATTGCAGGCAACATTTCACAGTTTGTTCTACTATGTTCTAAATTAAACAAATAATTTATAAAACATTTAATCACCAGGGTCAAGAACAATTTCATAAATCAGTAAAATAAGAGATACATATTTTATTCTTGTATTAAAATGACTCAAGACATTGTTTTACCTAACAATACCATTTCTAAAGTATCCAGATCGCAAAGACAATTTCTATCCTATCTCATGTGATGGGCTCATTTTTAATCTTAGAATTTATTTGGAAATATAAGGCAGAAATGGCCCAATGTTGGGGATTTTCTTCACTATCTGCCACAACACTGTCACTTGTCCACTGTCAGGAACAGTGACCAATAATAATTAAATGAGGCTCTTTCTTATGCAACAGTAAAATGTTTTAGCTCCTTAGACACTTTATTAAACTAAAACTGCAAAAATTTACTCACATAAGCTAAATGAAGAAACCAGTTTCTATTAATCCCTCCTAACATGCTTCTCTCCAAGCACAAGATTAGATATACTCCAAATTCCAGCCAGGGATTTAGCTCAGTGGTATAAGCATCCACCTGGCAAGCACAAGATTGTGAGTTCAATCACCGGTACCAAAAAAAAAAAAAAAGTAATCCAAATTCCTTAGCAAAATCAACAAACAAATCATTTGCTTTACAACACACTCATAGGCTAGGGAAAATCTGCTTACTTGGTGCAAGCACAGCCTTGGCTCTCATTCATGAAAATATTAAATTATTTCAATATAATAATTGCAGAGCAAAGTATACTACAGTAACTCAAAAATGTGAATGCAATTAATGCTGTAGAACTGTGCATGCATAAAAGGGATAAATGGTAAATGTTATGCTATGTATGTTTTAACACACACACACACACACACACACACAGTATAGTGAAGCATTACATAAAGACTCAAGGTAAGCAAAAGAAAATGTCCTGCCAAGTTCTCCTGCCTCTGCCGATGAACATGTTTAACATCCTGGACACCATCGCATACCCCTTTGCTTTTTTGGCAAGTTGTTTTTAAGTAAACAATTCTTACACAAGTTTTGTTAAACCAGAACAAATTTAGAAAGCCTCAAGAACAGGAATCAAAACACCAGTTGTTGAACTATGATTACAAGTAATCTTTGTTTCATGAAGCAGAAATCCAGCTCCATAAATCCAGCACATGAAGGTGACGTTCTCTTTTAGTGTAAGAGATGGGAATAAACCTTATTTTAAAAGAAGGCTCATTAAAATGTCTCAAGAAAATTTAGTAAGTTATAACTAAAAGACAAACACAAATACAGACACATGAGCCTTATCAACACAGGGCTGTAAATCAGGACAGGACACTACTGACATTCATTCTGCTTTCAGGAACTTCCAAATCAAACTCGGAAGCAAAAAGCTCGGTGAAACCCTTGAAAGCTGTGTGCAGCAGAGTCTAGACTCCAGAGGAGCTCCAGCCCTGACCACGAGAGGCCTCAGTCTCCAATCACTTGGGGAATAATACTCCCTACGTCTGTTGGGGGTTAGCACCCTGCAGAGCTGAGGAATCCTAAGGTCTGAGTTTCATCAAAAGCACAATATTCTGTAGAGCAGATGCAGACCGAACTCAGGCAACGCAAGGGCCGCCGCACACCAGGAGCGAAGACCCTGAGGAGCTGATGCACAGTCCCAAAGAGAGGGATGAGAGCAGGGAGGACCAGAAGCCAGGGAATGTGGGAGGGGCCAGGTTGCTGGTGTGAGGGAGAGGTGAGTGGAAGTATCTCCAAGCCAGGCAGTCCATCGAGAGTGGTAGCATCCGAGGCGGCCGCCAGGCTGCACTTGCTCTGGGCCACGTGGGTGAAGACATGGGGGAAAACTGGGCCCAGGTTTGCGTGGAACCCCCGGAGAAATCTGGCTCCAGGTGCAGAGCTGGGAGGCTCCGCTCTGAAGCAGAATCACGCTGAGGCACAGCAGGGGACTATGCCCACACTTAGGGAGGGGCAGAGGAGGAGACACTCACCAGGGAAACGCAGAGCCAAGAGGCCACAAGCCAGTGCTCCTGTGGAAGCCAAGACCAGGAGAGCAGGTCTCGGGAGAATTTCCTGGAGCAGCAGCGAACTGCTAACTTTGCCAAGAAAATGTCTTCTATTCCCTTCGGGAGGCGAGGACAGAAGGGAGCAGGGAAGCTGACTTGCAGCCATGTGAAGAGCTACGTGTAAGAGCTGAGGCGGGAGGTGGGCAGAGAGCACAGCTTAAGGTGGGGCTGAAGCCAGGATGGTTACGGGGGCGAGCAGCCCCGTGAGACCAGGCAACAGGCAGAGGCAGAAGGTGATCAGCCAGGGGAAGGCGTATGTTGTGGATTAAGGACTGGTGGTCAACTTAATGCCAGCTGGATTACATCAGCATGGCACTGAGCGAAGATGCTCCACCTGAGGAATGTTGCCAGCATAAATAGAGAGGTGGAGAAGGAGGAGGGAGGCATTAATGCATTATTGCATTGAGGCGTTGAGGCATTGTGGGTTCTCCTATGAGTTCCTGTTTGAACCTTTGATTCTCCTAGAGAAGCTCTGGTCCTCACATCGAGCATCACTTCCTGGCTCCGGAGGGGAAGACATGTGCTGCTTGGTCTCCAGGATGAACTTGTCACGCTGGCCTTCTGGCATGTACCCCACTGTGCTTGTCATTGGAGGAGTTCGGGGCCTTCGTGTCGCCGAGGAGGCTGTGGTGCCTTTCAGGACAGCCCTGGTCTTTGTTGTAAGTGTGACTTCTCAGCTCCAGCATAGAAGCCTCATCCCACCAGCACAGCTCCTTCACCTCGCTGGATGGACTTTCTGGTTTCCACTACTGGCCTTTGGGCCTTCCTGGCACGGATCCATAAAAGAGACTGGCGTTGAGTCCTTCTTGTGGGCTCTGGACTTCTAGTTGGACTCGTGGGAGGCATTGTCATGAGCTCTGGGTCTTCATCTGGACTCATGTGGGACAATGCTGTGGGATTCAGGCCCTTGACTAAATATTCTGTTTTTGGTGTTGCAGATAGATTTCCTGCATTTTCTTATGTTAAATCCCGGTGACCACTATAAAAATATCATAAACTCCACATCTTGATTCTAATTGTTCTCTGCACAACCCCTAACTATGACATGTACCTTAAAATCTGGGCTCTGTGACAGAGGGTAGGGTTGAGCAAAGCAAGCCAGCTGTGAGGCACACACACATGTGCATGGTGCCTGAGCCCACATTTCACTGTCAGGTGATCCGGGGAAAACTGTTCCCTGCACTGGACCCAACTCTTTGCATGAACATCAAGGAGGGAGGGAGCTGGACAATCACTGCAGGTCAAGGAAGGAAAGAGGCAGACACGAACTTCCACCGACATTCCCAAAGCTGTTTCCACAACCAACTCAATTATTTACCACACGGTCACAGAGGAAATGCAACTTGTTTACAGTTAACTGCATGTGACCCAGCCCGTGTTACCATGTGATGCAGGAACACAGAGGCCTGACAGCCACCAAGCTCTGTGAGCCACGAGCTCTCCCCACAGTTCACTCCACAAACAACTGGTTCGTCTACTGCACCTCAGAGATCAACAGGAGGCAGAGCTAAGTGCATGCACACACACACACACACACACACACACACACACACACATACACACACACAATCTCCCGACAAATTAAGTGTCTCATATTTCATTCATGAAAGGTGATGCATTTAGAGAAATTGACCAGAGGAAGCTGTCTTAGCTACTTTCCTCACTGCTGAGACAAAGTACTGGACACCCAAAACTCAAAGGGTTACTGGCTTAGGCTCTGTAGAGGAGACTCAGGAAACCTTTCTAGAGGGGACAGGTAGACGATGGCCTTCGATGATCCCAGATGTGTAATTTATTCTGTCCTGCCAATTCCTGCCACAGGCCCTGCAGTTGCTTATGGAGAAGCCTCCCCGACCGATGGGCTTTCTCTCCTGGCCTCCTCAGCAATGTCACAGCCTAGGGGGCAGAAGACCCATCCTAGGGCGGCTGGTGACCTGGATGGTGTACAGAGGGAAGAGGAAGGCGCCTGCTTCTGTTCTTCAGAGGAGCTCACGTCTTCACCTGCAGCCTGCACGTCATCTCCCGGCTTCAGCACAGACCCTTCGGCCTCTTGTCAATGGAGTCGCGCGGGACACTTCAGTGAGCTCCAGACCTTGTGCTGAATCCTCCGCTTCCCGCTGTGCAGACACCTTCTGCCCGCCTCCTCGTTGACTCTGGGCTGGCCATCCTAAGCCAATCCTGTCACTGCTTAGCCATTCCTATTTCTTGTGCTGCTTTGCTAGTAAACACTGAGTGATGTGCACACCCTCGCTTGCTAGGTGACAGCACGACCTGTCTCACTCATCCAGCTGATACCTGGGAGGCACCGCCCTGCGAGCATTGTGCATTGGTGGTGCCACCGAGAACAACATGAAGCGGACACCAGGAGAGTTCTGGAGGCCTCTGAAGAATGGCTCGCTGCTCTCAGCCCTGTGCATCTGAACAGACATCTGCCTGGTACACACACACACACACACACACACACACACACACACACCCCACTGAAATTCACGGGGAGTGCTGCAGCGGGTAGCAGAGGTGCCAAGAACCAAGCGGGCTTGGACAGAAGACAGGATCGTGTCCCTCTCAAGGAGAACCGCCTGGGAACCCTGCAGCATTTGTGCCACCAGCTCTGCTGTCTCTAGGTGAGGGTTACCTGAAGGTGCTGCATGTCCACAATGCAGTGTCCCGTCTCTTCAGAAGGAGAGGCCTCCATGACAGAGTTCTAAATGTACATCTTTCATATCTCCATCACTGATACTGGGTCATTCAGGTATTATTATAGATATTAAATGTAATGTCCCAACTATTCCATATTGCATGATGTCTAATTAGGGCCCCTCCCCAGAAATTGATGCATTACTAGGTAGGTGTTTATAAATATCTGTCATTTCCTTCCAATATTTCACATTTATGTAAAGCCTTTCATTTAAAAATTAAATATCAACAGGAATGGAACATTACATAAAGTTTATTTTACAAATGTTCCTGACAACTTCCCATTCCCCTTTATGTGCTAAACTGCCTGTTTACAGAACAATTTCTCCTTCATTGTGACTCTTCAATGTTTAATGGTGACATTTTCTCTTTTAAAAAAAGAAATGTCAATATATTATTTACATTGCCTTTCATCCCTTTGGAGTTGAAACCTATTCTCTGGTCATCTAAATTTGAATAAAGCATATTTAAAACTAAAAACAAAATGTTCAATATATTTTTTTAAAAAAAAACAACTATTCAACTTCTACCGTTTGGTCTCATAGGTGCCACAGGAGCTGAGTTGCAGAACCAGATGTGATAAGGAAATCACATACAGTTACACTGGTTTAAGTGGAAATAAGAGAGGCATAGTCAGCTTTACTTCAAAGCTTAAAGTCTGCACTAATGAAAACAGTCTGAAAAATAGTTGACTTCCAGAATTTCGTGGTTTTCCGTGCAATGTCCCCTAAGGACAAGATTCCAAACTCCGTGCATCAGTAAAGATGCCAATCAGGGGCATGAGACTCGGAACACCAGTGCTGGGGCAGAGCCAGAGGCAGTGCTATTTGAGAAGCAGACACAGGTAGATGTGGGTAGCAAGACACATAGGCGCTCATTTAGAAAAACTCACAGAATATTTGTAAAGGAAGGATATGTTTACTGTTAGAAAGTATGTTGTAAATATTTGTGACGTGGGATGAGCAGACTCAATTTCAGTGACATAAAAACCTAATTCTATTTAGCAATGATGCCGGAGTCCACAGCAGAAGCTTCAGCCAGCGACAGGACCCTCACCAAGTGGGCGCAAAGCCCTGGGCTCCATCCCCAACGTGGGGAGAAAAGGGCAGGTATCCACCTTAACAGTAAATTAAACTCCCCAGTCCAACACTCCTGCCACACTAACTCCCTAAGAGCAACCTCTGACCCTTCCGTGGCTCCCAGAGCCTTCTGTGAAGAGACCCCAGTGCTGTGTGGAAGCAGTCTTCTATTTCCTCCTTCCCTGATGATAACAGAAGACGCCCCCTGGGGCCGGCTACCAGGGAGGACAAAAGCTCTGTGTCAGTGGTCAATGGACATGAACATCAAGATGATCTGATTAAAGGGTGCAGGCTTTACCATCACTTCCGGGATGAGAGAGAGGCACCCGACACTAATCCCGATTGCATTACCCCTGATTAACTCCCCATCGGCATCTGTCTGTGTGCAGGACAGATGGCAGGCTCAGAGTGCGTCCTCCCTGCGGGGACGCCTGCAGCGTGAGCTCCCCGCCCCAGTGAGGCTCGGGGAATGCACCATGGCCATGGGAGATGGGGGGCACCTCATTTCTTCATTTAGAAATATGCAAAAGGAAACTATGTAAGAACAGCTTTTACTTATGCTAAAAGTCACAGTCCGTAACTACAGTACTGATAAAAATCCTGAGGTAATTAAATTCCTTCTCCCCTAAATTGGATTAGAGGTTAACGAATTTTATGCACCATCACCACTATGTGTGTGATTCGTGTCACACAAAATTTTATGTCCTTCACTTGTATTTGTTAAAAACAATGTATTTCCTGGCCTAATTCAGAGACCAGCATCAAGGATAAAAGGGAACGAAGCCTGCTAAAGTGTTTAGAAAATCGCAGACCATCGTCTTCATGCAGTTCCAAAATAGTGAGTTACTCATGAATGGAACAAAATATAAGCAATGTATTTAAAAAGCAATAAATTCTTCAGACAGTAAGGTTTATTCCAGGAATGTAAGACTGGTCAACATTAGACAGTTCGTAAGCAAAATTCAGTAAGTAGATAAAAACAGAAAAACAGGCCAAACAGCTCAGTTTTCTAGTAACTAGCTTCTTTGAAGACAGTCAGTAAGATAACCCTAGTTCCCAACAAAACTCCCAGTAAGCTGGTAAAAGAGGACAATCTCCTTAACATAATCAAAAACTTCCAAATCTCAGAGAAAACACTCTACAATTCTTTAAGACTTAGAAGCATTCTTGCTACAATAAAAAAGACTATTATTTATTCTCTCTAGATTTGAACATGAATTAATATAGATAAGCCAAATCAAAAGATAAGAAAACTAGTGTAAAATATTGTAAAAGAGATACACAATTGTATCTAGAAAGTAAAAAAATCAAGTGATAAAACTATTAGAATTAAAACAATAGTGGCAAAATACAACATAATATAAGAAAATTAATAGTTGGGCTGGGGATTTAGCTCAGTGGCATAAGCGACTGCCTTGCAAGCAAGCAGTCGTGAGTTCGATCCCTGGTACCGGTAAAAAGGAAAAAGACAAAAAAAAGAAAGAAAATTAATAGTCACCTTATATACGAATCTTTTCTCAAACATAGTAGCAGGGGTAAGTGGGGAAGAGAACTACATTCAAATTAACAACCGATATCGCAGAACTTAAGGAGCTATGTATAAAACGTATATATAGAAGTTTATTTCATGTCACGTTCGAAAGGAGGGCTTCATTAAGTGAGACATTAAAAATTACTAGCGGTATTAAATTGGCAAAATTCAAAGACTCCACTAATGACAGAGAAATACAATAAAATTGTAATGCACATCCCAATGAGATTGCTTCAAGAGATAGAAGTACAAGAGGAATTTTAACTAGCAAAGGAAACCATGTAGTTTTTAATTGACTATGGAAAAAATTACTATTCAGTTGAATCAAAAACTAGATTTGTGTTGCATGTCAGAAAAAAAATTTACATAAAGATTAAATAACATTTAGAAGTACTAGAAAAATGTAAGAATAAATTTGTATAGTTTTGGGACATGACTTTTTCTTAACAAATACATGAGAATCAGCATCTAGATAGACCAGAACACATAAACACTTGAAACTGTCCAAATGTATTTTTTTAAAACCTTTGTAAATAAGGAGGGGAAGGAGGTTGAAGGGAGGAGAGGAGAATGGGAAAGAAAGAAGAATCAAGGTATGTCATGCACAGCTCCAAATTCCCTGTGATGAACGCGATCGATGTTCACACCTAAATGTACCATAAAATTATTTTTTAAAAATCTTATACAGGAAGATATTTGATATATGTTCTTTAATTTACAAAAAGTACAAACCAATTCTAGAAAAGACAAATTCAAAAAATTATGTAATGGTTTAGAAATTATATTAAAAGATGTTCACTAATTATATACATATAAATACACATGCACAAATAAAACCATTACTTTTATTGATGTTTAAAAATATGAGGTTGTAGAACACTGAGAATTTTTAAACAGTGTCATGGTGAACAAAGCGGGAGCAACCTCTCTGGAAGAGGAGGTGAAGCAGTCTGAGGGTGTTAAAGATGCATCTACAAGGGGCGAATGGAACATACAGTGAATGCTCGGCTGGAACCAAACATACACCTTACGACGCGCTGCGCAGGACTGCAGGGCAAGGGTGCCCGAAGTGAGAGAGAACACTGTGAACTCCGGAAAGGGTGATGGCGAGGCACCTTTCACCGCGGGAGCCCCAGCCCTGCGGACCAGCACCACGGGGTCCTCCAGCCACCAGACCCTGCAGCAGGTGGGAGGGGCAGGCACCGAGGCCTCCCCTGCAATATGACTGCCCCCCATCACAGCCGCCTCCTGTCAGGTCAGCCAGGTCTCAGAGGCTCACAGAGTGACGGGCCCTAGGTCCCATGCTGCTTTGAATCACCCCAAAACCATACCGCCAACCCAAACCCGTCCATCAGGAAAAAAACTGTCCTACATGAAACCAGTTCCTGGTGCCAGCACAGGCTGGGAGCACTGTTTCACTCTCATACGTCTTTTGGTTTAAACATTCACCACGGATTTTAATCCCACCTTGCACTTTGATCCAGCAAAATCATTTCTGAGAACTGAATAAAATTTTAGGAAAATATCTGAACAAATGGACAAAGGAACAAGTACAAGATGCTCGCTACTACTCTGTTAAAAAAAAAACAGGAATAAACTAATTAACTAGTAAGGACTGGCAAAGTAAATTATCTATAGATCTATAAAATAGAAATCTGTGTATGCCTTGTAAGACCTGACATAGATGGACACACCTTAAACTGGATACATGTGTGCATGTGTGTGTGTGTGTGGACTTAAAAAGCAGGCGACAAAAGAATACCTATGACATGAAAGATCATTATTTATACATGGCAAGCCTGAGAGGGTAAGTCCCAACTGGTAATAATGTTTATCTCTAGGGAAAAGGAAGCAAAATGATGGAATTTGCTTTCACTATGTTGTGCAAATTATTTTAAATTAGCATATATTACCATATATTATGAGAAAACATATGAAAGCTATTTCCATGTTAAAGCTAATTAAAAACAGCCCTATAAAAAGCCCTATAATTACATCATCAATTATCAGAGAGATGAACCTCATGGAGATAACGTATAATATCTGCATTTCTATGATTTGAGGCATAACTAAGAAATTAAATTTCAAAGCACATGGGCCAGTTTTTATTAAAAGAATTTTTTATTATGTTGAATTTTTTAAATACAAATTTTAAGAATGTTTATTGTTCCTAGGAACAGCCCAATGTACCCCCACTACAGTAGGGCAAAATGCCTTTTAAGAATCATGACAAATGGCAATCATTCAGAATCTCACACTTTAGGACTCCTGATTTTAGGCAGCCTTAGTGCAAAGAAGGCCCAAAGCATGATTCGTTTTTCTAAGGTACCTGTACAGTTAGTCTTGGGAACACTTAACCAGCTCCAACGATTGCCTCCGAGTCACACACTTCCTACTGCAAGCTCTGAGAGTGGAGGGAAGGGGGGACTGTTCCTGGGGGAAGCAAGAAGGCTTAAGCTGAGATTTCCTCACTAGTTGTTTAAAAAAAATTTGATTTCAATTAAATGCACTCCACAGACAATGAGATTCAAATCTGCTGTACTAAATCAGGACTTCAATAGGTCTCAAGGAAAGGGGACTCAGCAAGAATTCCACCTAGGTTGTGGATCTTCAGCCTTTCAGAGTACACATCCTAAGTATTAAGTTTGCAACCACAGTCTTCAAACACAGCCCTAACAGCTTTCCGCCCGGCTGCCCCAGCAACACCATCATGTTCACGTCTGCGTCTCCACCTGGAGGACCGGGAATCTGCCTTTGCGCTCATTCCAAGTCTTCAAAAAATACATCGTAACGCGTGAGTGATGTCCTTCACTGTCTCCTCCTAACCTATGCTCTTTTATTTCTTTGA